TAAATATAATACCTAACTAAAATTTGTTTCCCTCACCAACCTTATAGGTTGTAAATCTCTCATATTTTTTTCATCTTCACTCTCAGGTGGTGTTTGAAGTTGGTAAGAATCCTTCCATGGTCAAAGTCATTCACATATAGCTTAGTTGTTTATTTAGGTAGTATAATTGTCCAATCTAACTCATGGTCACTATCCTCACCATTATTAACTTCATCATCAACTTCATTATCCACTTCAACTTCATTATCCACTTTAACCTCATTATCCACTTCACTTTCATCATCCACTTCAACTTCGTTGACCACTTAAACTTCATCAACCATTTAAACCTCATCATCATTAAAAATTATATCATGCCCTATTTCTACCTCATTTACAATGTCAGGTTCACTAATGTTATGATCAACATACATATATATTAACACACAACCATCAACATATTTAATTAGTTGAAACACATCATTGTCACAGTTAAGTGTTATAATGCCACTAGTAAAGCTTAACATAGGGTTCAAATACCAGATACACTCAATGTCTCTACATTCGTCTTTCTTAATCTATTTCAATAGTTCCATATAAGACATGTAGTCAACATACCATTTACAAATCATTTATGAAACAAACCCACCGACATGCAATCTCACAGAGGTGTCAACAAGTCTACCTCGATGATGGAGTTTAAACCCATCTTTTTGACACATAGATGACCTGGAATAGATGATACATACGAGTTAGGGGATCACAAACAATACTTAAAAAATGCATAAATATGAGGCCACAAACCCTAAAAGACTAAGGATCACAAACCCTAAAACACAATGGGACCACCATGTACATTAAGAAAAAAACATATAACCTAATTTTTATCGTGGGAGACAAATTAATACATACATAATACATAATTTCAAATTTTCATTTCTTTTCTCAGTTGCAGCATAAATCTTGTCAATGGTTAATCCTGAATCTTGATGAAGGAAGTTATGGAATACGAGTAAACCTATTCGTGAATCACAATTTTTGGGTTTGGAGATTTGTGAACAAAAGGCAATGGCTTTCAGGTTGGAAACAAAGGAAGGGTAATGAATGGTTTTAAGTTTCTTTAGAAGGAAGCTCATGAGTTTGTAAGGTGAACATTAGTGATTTTATATGTTCAATGATCCTTATAGGTTGGAAATCTCTCATAATTTTATCATCTTCACTCTCATGTGGTGTTTGAAGTAGGTAAGAATCTTTGAATGGTCAAAGTAATTCACATATAGTTTAATTGTTTATTTAGATAATACAATTGTACAATATAACTCATGGTCACTATCCTCACCATCATTAACTTCATCATCAACTTCATTATCCACTTCAACTTCTTTATCCACTTTAACTGCATCATCCACCTTAACTTCATTATCCACTTCAATTTCATCTATCATTTCAACCTCGTCATCATTAAAAATTATATCATGCCCTATTTCTGCCTCATCTACAATGTCAGGTTCACTAATGCTGTGATTAACATACATAACTTTCAAAATCACAACCATCAACATATTTAATTAGTTGCAACATATAATTGTCACAGTTAAGTGTTATAAGGCCACAAGTAAAGCTCAACATATGTTTAAAATACCAGATAAACTCAATGTCTCTACATCCGTCTTTCTTAATATATTCCAATAGTTCCATACAGGACATGTAGTAAACATACCATTTCCAACTCATTTTTGAAATAAACCCACTAACCTGCAATCTCACAGAGGTGTCAACAAGTCTACCTCCATGATGGATTCTAAACCTAATTTGTTTGATACATAGATGACCAAGAATAGCTAATACATATGAGTTAGGGGATCATAAACAATACTTAAAAAATGCAGAACCATGAGGCCACAAACCCTAAAATACAAAGGATCACAAACCCTAAAACGCAGTGGAACCACCATGTACATAAAAAAAAGCATATAACCTAATTTCTATCTTGAAATACAAATTAACACATACTTGAGACATAATTTCACATTTTCATTGCTTTTGTCAGTTGCATCAGAAATCTTGTCCATGGTTAATCTTGAATGTTGATGAAGAAAGATTATGGAATACGATTCTAACTATTCTTGAATCGCAATTTTTGGGTTTGGAGATTTGTGAATGAAAGGAAGTGGCTTTAGGGATCTCAACAAAGGAAGTGGAGTGAATATTTTTAGGTTTCTTTAGAAGGAATCTCATAAGTTTGTAAGGTAAACACGAAGAATTCTATATGTTTAATAAATTAAGTTAATAATATTTTATAGAAAAAATGTTTATCTAAATAACTTTATTAATATATTGCATGCTTTATCATATTCTTAGTGTAAATATATTGTCTAACTAAAATTTGGTTCGCTCACCAACCTTATAGGTTAAATCTCTCATACTTTTATCATCTTCGCTCTCAAGTGTTGTTTGAAGTAGGTCAAAATTTATCCATGGTTAAAATCATTCACATATGGTTTAGTTGTTTCTTTAGATAATACAATTTTCCAATCTAACTCATGGTCACTATCCTCACCATTATTAAGTTCATCATCAATTTTATTATCCACTTCAACCTCATTATCCACTTCAAATTCATCACCCACTTCAACTTCATTATCCACTTCAACTTCATCAACTATTTCAACCTCATCATCTTTAAAAATTATATCATGCCCTAGTTTTGCCTCATCTATAATGTCAGGTTCACTAATGCTATGATCAACATACATATCTAGTAACTCATAACCATCAACATATTTAATCAGTTTCAACACATCATTGTCATAGTTAAATGTTATAAGGCCACGAGTAAAGCTCAACATAGGGTTCAAATACCAGTTACACTCAATATCTCTACATCACTCTTTCTTAATCAATTCCAATAGTTCCATACAGGACATGTAGTCAACATACCATTTCCAACTCATTTATGAAACAAACCCACCAACCTGCAATCTCACAGAGGTGTCAACAAGTCTACCTCCATGATGGTTTCTAAACCTAACTTTTTGACACATAGATGAACTTGAATAGGTACTACATACGAGTTAGGGGATCACAAATAATACTTAAAAATGCAGAATTGTGAGGCCATAAATCCTAAAAGACAAAGGATTGGAAACCCTAAAACACTATGGGACCACCACACACATTAAAAAAATCATACAACCTAATTTCTATCATGGGAGAAAGATTAGTACATACCTGAGACATAATTTAACCTTTTCATTCCTTTTCTCAGTTAAAGTGGAAATCTTGTCCTTGGCTAATCCTGAATCTTGATGAAGAAAGATTATGGAATACGAGTCTACCTATTCCTGAATCGTAATTTTTGGGTTGGAGATTTGTGAACGAAAGGCAATGACTTTAGGGACCACAATAAAGGAAGGGGAATGAATGGTTTTAGGTTTCTTTAGAAGGAAGCTCTTGAGTTTGTAAGGTGAACGTCAAGGATTTTATATGTTTATTGAAATAACTTAATCATATTGAGTTGAAAAATTTATTTTCTAAATAATTTACATAATATATTTGATCCTTTATCATATCCATAGTATAAATATAATGCCTAACTAAAATTTGGTTCCCTCACGAACCTTACATGTTGGAAATCTCTCATACTTTTATCATTTTCACACACATGTGGTGTTTGAAGTTGGTCGGAATCCTTCCATGGTCAAAGTCATTCACATATGGTTTAGTTGTTTCTTTAGGTAGTATAATTGTCCTATCTAACTCATGGTCACTATCCTCACCATCATTAACTTCATCATCAACTTCGTTATCCACTTTAACTTCATTATCCACTTCAACTTCATCATCCACTTTAACTTCATTATCCACTTTAACTTCATCAACCATTTCAACCTCATAATAATTAAAAATTATATCATGCCCTATTTCTACCTCATCTACAATGTAAAGTTCACTAATGCTATGATCAACATACATATCTACTAACTCACAGCCATCTACATATTTAATCAGTTGCAACACATCATTGTCACAGTTAAGTGTTTTAAGGCCACGAGTAAAGCTTAACATAGGGTTCAAATACCATATAATCTCAATGTCTCCACATCCCTCTTTCTTATACAATTCCAATAGTTCCATACAAGACATGTAGTCAACATACCATTTCACACGCATTTATAAAACAAACCCACCAACATGCAATCTCATAGAGGCTTCAATATGTCTACCTCCACGATGGATTCTAAACCTAATTTTTTGACACTATATGACCTGGAATAGATGATACATACGAGTTAGGGGATCACAAACAGTACTTAAAAAATGCAGAAATGTGAGGCCACAAACCCTAAAATATAAAGGATCACAAACCCTAAAACACAATGGGACCATCATGTACATTAAAAAAATCATACAACCTAATTTCAATTGTGGGAGACAGATTACTACATACCTGAGACATAATTTCATCTTTTCATTGCTTTTCTCAATTGCAGCGGAAATCTTGTCCATGGTTAATCCTAAATCTTAATGAAGAAAGGTCATGGAATAAAAGTCTAACTAATCCTCAATCATAATTTTTGGGTTTGAAGATTTGTGAACGAAAGAAAATGACTTTATGGATTGCAATAAAGGAATGGGAATGAATGGTTTTAGGTTTCTTTAGAAGGAAGCTCATGATTTTGTAAGGTAAACGTTAGGGATTTTATATGTTTAATGAATTAAGTTAATAATATTTTATTGAAAAAATGTTTTTCGAAATAATTTTATGAATATATTGCATCATTTATCATATACTAAGTGTAAATATATTTCCTAACTAAATTTTGGTTCCCTCACCAACCTTATAGGTTGGAAATCTCTCATACTTTTATCTTCTTCACTCTCTGGTGGTGTTTGAAGTTGGTCTGAATCCTTCCATGTTTAAAGTCATTCACATATTGTTTATTTGTTTCTTTATGTAGTACAATTGGCCAATTTGACTTATGGTCACTATCCTCACCATCATTAACTTCATCATCAACTTAATTATCCACTTTAGCTTCAATATCCACTTCAACCTCATTATCCACTTCAACTTCATCATCCCCTTCAACTTCGTTATCCACTTTAACTTCATAAACCATTTCAACCTCATCATTATTAAAAATTATATCATGCCCTACTTCTGCCGCATCTACAATCTCAGTTCATTGATGCTATGATCAATATACATATCTACTAACTCACAACCATCAACATATTTAATAAGTTGTAACACATCATTGTCATAGTTAAGTGTTATAAGTCCATAAGTAAAGCTCAACATATGATTCAAATACCATATACACTCAATATCTCTACATCCCTCTTTCTTAATCAATTCCAATAGTTCCATACAGGACATGTAGTCAACATGCCATTTCAAACTCATTAAAGAAACAAACCCACTATTATGCAATCTCACAGAGGTGTCAAGAAATATACCTCCATGATGGATTCTAAACGAATTTTTTGAGACATAGATGACCTAGAATAGATAATATATACGAGTTAGGGGATCACAAACAATACTAAAAATGCAGAACTTTGAGGACACAAACCCTAACAAATAAAGGATCACAAATCCTAAAACACAATGGGACCATCATGTACATTAAAAAAATTCATACAACCTAATTTCATTCGTTGGAGACAAATCAATACATACCGAAGATATAATTTCACAATTTCATTGCTTTTGTCAGTTGCAACGAAAATCTTGTCCATGGCTAATCCTGAATCTTAATGAAGAAAGATTATGGAATACGAGTCTACCTATTTCTGAATCGCAATATTTAAGTTTGGAGATTTATGAACGAAAAGAAATGGCTTTAGGGATCCCAACAAAGGAAGGGAAATTAATGGTTTTAGGTTCCTTTATCATCTCCTTAATGTAAATATAATGCCTAACTAAAATTTGGTTCCCTCACCAACCTTATAGGTTGGAAATCTCTCATACTTTTATCATCTTCACTCTCACGTGTTATTTGAAGTAGGTCAGAATCCTTCCATGGTCAAAGTCATTCACATATGGTTTTTTTCTTTCTATAGGTAGTACAATTGTCCAATCAACTCATAGTCACTATCCTCACCATCATTAACTACATCATCAAATTCATTATCCACTTCAACTTTATTATACACTTCAACCTCATTATCCACTTCATCTTCATCATCAACTTCAACTTCATTATCCACTTCAACTTCATCAACCATTTCAACCTCATCATCATTTAAAATTATATCATTCCCTATTGAAGCTACCGACAGAAAACACAGAGCCGCCACCAAACTTTATTTATCCCGAAGTAAGGGGAAATATCGAGAAAACTACAAGAGGATGGATAAGATGGTCTTACGACCAAGAGAAATATTAAGGGAGTCAGTTATGCAAGGGGAAGGTATGAGCACCACTCACATCCGTTGTACTCAATGGGATCCATTTTGTTTGTCTGCTTCTAAAGGTGTGTTTATCTATAACTATACTTTCTTAAGGGGAAAGAAATGGTTTTTTGTTAGTGTGTTCGTGAGGGTCTCACAACCCTTTTCCTATGTATCCAGTGAAGGAATCAAAACACCGTAGTTCTTCTAGAAAATGTTGCTTTGTTGGTGTTTTTTAATGGGCGACATTAACACATGCATTCTAGCAATAGGCACGGTCTGTATCACGGTGGAACGGAGATAACATGCCCTTTGGGGGAAGTTTTGATTGGTTGAGTGTTTTACGAGTTTTAAAATGAACTTGAGTAATGATTAGGTGTTTTTGGGTTTTTTATTTGTGAATGATAAATTTTAATTACAAAAGAAGAAAAAGGTTAAGAGGGAGACTAGAAAAACCCTAACGTTGTCATGTACAATGGTGAGCTAAAAGTCTACCTCAACATAAAGCAATCGAAACAGGATTTAATCGCCTCATGGAGCTACCTAAGAGAGTATGGTATTAAGGTTTGAACGGGTAAATAAAGAAACTTACATTCTAAATGTTTTTTTAATGGTTTTTACCAAATTAACAAAAGAAAATAGTATTATAATAGTTTTATGACTTTTTGTGAAAATAAATATTAAAACCTAATTCTAAACTATTCTAATATTTTTTGTGATTTTTATTAAGTCAAGAAAATAATAAAAACCCTAATCTAATATTTTTCATGATATTCAAATAAAAGAAAATAAAAAAAGGAATTGAAACCTAATTCTTTTTTTTTTAATTTATCAAGTAAAAGAAAATAAACAAATCAAAATAAATAAATACAATTGAAATAAAAGGGAATTAGAAAAGAATGCCCAGGGGGTGCAAGGTTGGATCAGGGTGTAAGGTGAAGTATTTGGCGCTAGGCCCAACCAAAATGAGTCCACAAGAGATTTTTTATTATACGAGCTTCAGAATGCAAAAAATATGTAATGGGCTTAAGGTGAAGAAAATCCCACATTGAATGTACCTGTACCCCAACCCACAATCATATTCCAATTTCACTTTATTCAAAATTTAATTATCAATTTCAAATTAATAACATTTTATTTAAACAAATAATAACAACAAATAAAATAAACCAATAAAAAGACAAGGAAGAGAACAATGCACTCAGAACGGAATTAGGGTTTGAATTGGGAATCCTCTTCCACTATATTAAAAAAATACGACTCCCTTACTCATTTGCACCGCACACAAATTTCTTCCATCATCACTCATGCTCTTCTCCGATCAACTTCCACTGCGAGTCACCCTGCTACACCGGTCATCACACCATAACTAACCATCTCCGCATCCTTGTCTTCTTCGTCGTTCTTTCAATTTTCTTCTCTTTTTTCAAGTTTATTTTAGATTTCAACACATACATGATTTTAGCAGCAAATACAATTAAAAAGGTAGAAAACACTTACATGTTGGAGTCGCTCTGCCGACGTTTCAAACGTGATAGAGCTGAATCAAAGTCTAATGGTCTTTATTCAGGTATGCTCTCCAATTCCTTGCTTCTATTATTTCACTTCTTATTCTTGCTTCCTCGCTTTTTTGTTTACTGAGTTGTTTTGCTTTTGTCTCTTTTTCTCTAAACCTTTACTCCTTCGTCTGAGTCTTGTAGTGTTCTTGAAATCACGTGCAGTTTGCATGTGTGAGGTTCTGCTTGTGAATCGGCTAGTGAGGGTAACACCATTATGCTTGGAGCTAGTCCAAGGATTCAGATGCCAATGATAAAATAACAAAGAAAACCAGAGGTATGCTCCTTAATTCCTTCCCCTTTTGCTAAAATTCTGATTTTTGGCCATTTGGAATATGAGTGTGGTGCTTCTTCTATTGCAGGTTGTTAAGTTTTTTTTTGTGTGGAGTTACCAGGAAAGATAAACAATAACCTATATTTTTCCTTTGGAATTCTCAGTGTTTTTGACTACCAGCTGGTAGTATTCTGTGTGAGATTTTTCTATCACCCCCTTTGCTGTCATTTGTTGGTTCTTTTTATAGTGAGATAAGGGGGGAAATTGGAAATTTGGTGAAGTTTGAACATTTTGATATGCTGTTTTTGTAGCCTTTTGAGTCAACTTTTGGTTATGTCTATATTTGTGCAACTGGTTTTTTGGAGGCTTGTGGCAGCATAATAGGGATGACATCAAGGCTACTTGGTGTTGACTTGGCAAGACTAGACAGTACAACAGCTAGTATGCTGGTTTTTCTTAGGTGATACCCTTCTAATCTTAATCTTTTCTTCTTCTTCTTCTGTCTGTGATGCAGAGCTATTATGCTTTTCTCAAAATTCTGAAGGGTTTGTACTTTAGGAAAATGATGATACATTAGGGCTTTGGCTATTTGCTAGCTTGCTGTTTTTATTAGCTGCTACTGTTTTTACTAGTTTTTCTGCTTGTTAATTATTGTGTGGAGGGCAGATTTGCTGTTGCTGTTTTCCTGTTTTGCTGTTTAATTTTAGTTGCTGTTTTGGGCTTTCTGTTTGTTTGTTTTGCTACAAGCTGCTTGCTATTTTTCTATTGTTTTGGATTTCCTGTTTGTTGCTTTGCTGTTGGATTTCATCTGCTGTTTGCTTTTGATTGTAACTATTATTTGCTGTTTTTGTTTGCCTATTTTAGGCTGCTTTGCTTTTGATTGCAGCTGCTGTTTGCTTTTGAATTTTTGTCTCGGCTGCAGTCGTTTGGCTTGTTTATGCCTGCTATTTTTGGGTTTCATATTTGGCCAATTGGGACTATTTCTTTGACAGCAATAAGCAGGACAGTAGGCCTGACTTTTGGCAATGCTTTTGACTGGCTTTATTTTTGCAGCAAAATTGTTTGTAAATTTCTTTTCATTTTATGAAAGAAAAACCCAAACTTTTGTGATTTGCAAAATAAGAGAATACAACCCATGATTGAATCAACCCTTTTTAATTCCGATTCCAAATACAAACCCTAATGATGAAATGAAAATCCTCTTTTAACAATTAGTTCTTGTTTGGAATTTTATTCACATATTGATGGTTTGCTAACTCTTTCCCCCTTTCTTGTTTCATGAGCAATGAGGATTGGATGGCAAAACCAAGGTTGAAATATGAAGAGGCCATGGCTAGCAAGGAGTGATGAAAAATTGCTTGAAGACGAAGAAAAGAAAACTTGAAGAACAATCATTTCTTTCTTTGTAAACAAAACATTTGTAACTTGTATTTCAAATTTGTAACTTGCTTTGTAAATTTCCCACAAATGTAATGAATACGAAACTTGAATGTCTTCCCGTTGTACCTTATGAGTGATGAATTGGTTGTATGGAAATTATACAATTCTTGAATCTCGGTTAAAATTTGAAATTTCCACTTGAATGGTTTGAATGATACATCTTGCCTTTGTAACTTGAACTTCAAGAAATCACATATGACCTTTGTAACTTGAATTTCAAGTAAACCATATGCCTTGTCTTCCAACCTCAATATTCATATCGTGTCAAAATCAAACTTGCACTCTCAATAAGAACCTTAACCTGGATATCTAAACCACAAGTTACTTGTAACTGAAGAGACAAAGACATGCCTTGATTATCATACGAGTTTGCAACATCATCTCTTATTCCATGGCTCAAATACGTGCAATATTAGTCACAAACCCTTGACCATAAATTTGAATTATTTATCAGGCCCAAAAATGATGATGGACATTGATGAAGAAAGATCTCGAAGTGTTGAAGATAATCGAAACCCTTATCCAGGACCTTGAAGAATATCCCTGTGAATTGACAAAGAAGGAATCCCATGATACCTCAGAACTTCATTCCTTAATCCACTGCTCAAGAACCAAATGAATTTGTTTTTTTACTCTGATGAAGAAACCTCAAACCAAAATTAAACATAAGGATGGAACAACCCTAATGCTTTAAATTAAAGTTCCTGATTCCATGATATGCATGATATGCAAACGACTTAGTGAAAATGATGTAAAAGGGAGGTAAAGTCTGAGCCAGACAAAAGTAAAAGGTAGGGAAAATTTGGGGTACGATAGCTGCCCCTATTTAATCGTCTTAAACCTGAAGGTGAGATAGGCGCTAGCCTTTCAAAAGTTCCAGGTGGAAGATGATTAAATACCAGGACCTGAAATTTGTCCTGGAGAGATGTTGTGAGTGTTATTTATTTGTGACGTCTGCTAGGGATGAGAAAAATGAATTTACAGGTGAACTGGTCATGATGGATAAATGTGGTTGAGTAATGATATCTTGTATTGGGGTAACAGTTCCAATATAAGGTTCTCGGGGAAGTGGGGGTTAAAGTAACTGAAAATATATGGTTGACGATGTCGTGGTGACGAAAAGTAGGATTAATGACAAAACTCTATCGTGGGGGATTCACGACCCAAAAAGGAAGGTAAAGACAACGGGTAAAGATCATAGTATAATCTATAAACCGAGAGAAAGGATGTCATGAGGGTAAGACCGACGAGCGACCTGTGACCTAAGAAAAGATAAAATGAGGGTAAGATCTATGGACGACCTATGATCTTAAAAATGATAATGTGAAGGTAAGATCTACGGACGACCTATGACCTAAGATAAGACAATATGAGGGTAAGATCTATGGACGATCTACAACCCTTGAAAAAAAATAACATGAGGGTAAAGTCTACGGACGACCTACGACCCTAAAAATATAAAGTGAGGGTAAGATCTACGGACGACCTATGACCCAAGAAAATATAACGTGAGGGTAAAGTCTACGGACGACCTACGACCCTAAAAAGATAAAGTGAGGGTAAGA